TTCACTGAGGCTGTATTTAGCATAGAAAACTAGGAAGAACTGATGATTCTTTTTTAAAAAGTCCTCTTTTGAGCAGAAGCAAACAGATGGTTTTTATTATCAAAACCAAACAATTTTTTTTATCCTGCATCTTCACTTTCCTAGAAAACATTAATTGATCCATGAAATCTGAATATCATATTATTGTATTTAATATTTAATTTAGTTTTAAGCTGATTTCCCTGAAACATTTTCCCTGAAATTCTTTCTAATAAGGTCTGACCTCTTGTTACTTCTTTAAATACATCAAATTGTTAAACCTACTCTTTTTTTCACTCTGCCCTTTGCTAGCACATGTTCTGCAGCTGCTCACAACTCAGAAAAACAGGTCCTGCCCTGGGAAGAGAGAGCATCTAGAGGTCCATCTAAATGTATTTGGGAGAGTTTTAGTAGTTAAGCAGCTTCATGTCTAGTAAACAGGGAGAGAAATTTATATTTAGAATTTTTTTTAATCAGACCTATAAAAAATTCAGGACCAGAAAAACTTCAGAAAACTTAGTTCTGGCTTCTTTAGATAAGCCTCAACATGATACATGACACTGGATGGAGGCTAGATAACCTACACATTTACTTTAGGTTTTTAACTATAAAAGCAGAAAAAAAGTCATTAAAATCTTTCCAGACTGCTAATTTGAAATGTGCAGAATTTAACCTGTTTACATCCTATTTACAGTATACGGTATTCCAAATTTACCAGAGATTGTCAAGGAAGAGAAAGATGATCAGCATAATCTAAGAATGGAAAAGATAAAAAAAAAAGAAAAAAGTAGACCCAACCCACACCAGCCAGTGTTCATTCATTTGAGAAGTGAGAGAGAAAAGCTCAACAGTTACATACTTAAAAGTTCCCATTTCTTCTGTGTTGATATGAGAATGTCTAATAACAAAACAAAATGAGACAATACTACCAATAATTATACCCTCATCCTGTTACTGTATTTGAGCTTATACAGCTATAGCTTAAATGAAATGGGATATTTAGCGTGAGGCAAAAATGTAAGAGATATAAATGACTAGTGTAAGTATTTTAATTGCACTAATTAAGCTTACTGTGAAACCAGATGATATTGATTCAGCCTATTAATCTTCTTTATTTCACATGTAAGCGAAAATTAGTAAGCATTGTAGTAAGCACTTTTTCACATTTTTGTAGTTATGTGCTTAACACCTAAACAGGAGCAAAGCTAAAACAAATTTAACTGAACAGTGAGAAAGACTGGGTTCTTCCTGTGATATCTCTGTTAAACACTCTGGATATATATGACAAGAAAACACATATTTTGGAATGAGAGCAAAAGATGACTATCTACTAATCAATAAAGAGAGCTACTATTCTCTTCTACTTAACCGCATTGCTGCACCAGAAATTTGCAATTAACTTGAACTCAGATTTGCTTGTGAACCACATACAGGGTTTGGGATTTGCCTTCTCCATCCTTACATGGAGCTGCAGCTAATTCAGATAATATTTTCATTTGGTTTTGAAACCAGGGAAACTTATTTCTCACTGCTCATTGTGTGCTTAGAATCTACCACAATGAACTTGTGGCAGCCTTCATAAAACAAAACTCTCCCCTACTTGAGACAGCAAAATGTCTGTGCCCAGTGCAGGGTGGTTGTGTGACTTCAGGAAACCTCTCTTGTTTGCTGCTGGTTGTAGCCCAGGCAACAGTAGGTGTCAGAAACAGGCACCACAAGCTTCAGCAACATCTTTGCTTACAGCCAAACAGCACCAGTGATGCAAAATGAACAGAAAAGAACCAGCACCTTGGATATTCTGTCCCATGGGCTATGCTACAAAACCCCACATAGTCTGGCAGATACACTCCTGGTTCTGCCCCACAATTCTGAACAGATATTATCCACAGTCTTTCCAGACATTATCCTGCAAGGTAAACTTGAGACTTGAAAGATAAATCTTTCAACCTCATTAGTCATTAATAAAAAGGATTGATGATTTTATCTGGGAAGTTTCTCTGTTGATAATACACTGTAAGTTACCTCTGACCTGGCTCCACGGGCTGACAATTGTATCACTGAGATGCCTTTTGACAGCACATGAATGAGAATCACAGTATTATGGCAAGTGTGAAAGGAATGGAAATGCAGAGATGAGCAACTTTCACTGTGGAGAACCTCAGATCCAATTGGCATAAAGTTCTTGGTTTGTGGAAGGCCCAGTTCAGCAGCAAAGTGAAGAACACGGAAAGCTCTAAAGACGAATACACTTTCTCAGTTTTAACAAATACAGGGTGATGTCAGGGAATGCAGACCACTACACAAAGCACTGATTAATCATGTGAATTTCAAGGCACGTTCTCTCTTCATTATAAGGCATTTCTAGATCTACATTTCAAATATCATGTCATTTTGCAAAGTCCTCAAGAACTCTGACCTCGGTAATTTTCTTTAATCATGTTTGCTAATTTTAATTTCTTTACACATTAAAAATTCTTCACCATCCACTTGTTTGCTTCTACAGGTACCCTCAATCTGCTGTTCTACACCATCCTGTGTCTTGAAATTAAACCAAGTTACTTTAAAATGCCAAAAGGAATTGCTGATAATAATTTTTGGTATTGTTTTCAGCTTGAAAAGAAAAAAGTAATACTTAACTCCTGAGCACTTAATCATAAAAAACAATGTAAAAAAAAATAAAAAGACACACTTGTCATTATTCTGCCACTTTTAGCTGCAATTTTTGGACTTAGACTGGGCATTCCGGACAACCAGACCTGATTGTTTACTTGTGGAGCTCTGACCTCAGCCCACTACAGCGTTGATAATAGCATGAATAAAGGTTCAGATGTTAGGGGTGGTTTGTAAAATAAGAGAGGAAGACAATGCATTCTTATCTGTTTTGCTGTTTTGTTTCAGGGGAGGTGCATTTAAAGAAACAGAAATAGTCATTGTTAAGTTTGGAGCAGTACCATCGGAAAATAATTTATAAAAGCAGTGAATATATTGCCTGAAATCTTGTACTATCAAGAGCTTCTGGCTCGGTTCCAGTGCCCAAGCTGAAAGAATCCGCTGACCCTGGAGGCTGCTGGATTCAGCCGGAGGCTGTGTCTCCTGCAACATCCTTAACACAAGAAATAGAAGGAACCTGGTGATGTATTTTTATCATGATCTATATGGACCAGGACAGCCAGAATCCAAGCAATTGTTATGCCTGAGGTACGTTTCTTGATCTTAGAACTGCACCTACCAGAATATTGTAGTAATAATCAGAAATAAAATAAGGAACAGTTACAGAGGCTACTGCTTGCTTCAGCAATGAGCATGGAATACATTTTGAAACACATTTAGTAAATCTCGATTTTACTTCGGTGAGAATCAAATGGTAGGGATAGTGGGAAATATTTATAGGAACGAAAAATGTGTGTAAAATATAAAGGATCCACTGATTTAGAATTGTTTCACTAAATCAGTATGGCCTAATCTTTTCTATTATGAAGAATAAATTATGTTGTCAGCTGTATTACTGAAACTTAATTAGGCACAGCAATCAGATGCAACTATGAAAAATATTTCACCCTACATATGCCTATCACAGTCTCTATCTCAAATTAAGAAAATTCAAGCTTTGTGTTAAGGTTTAAAAGCAAACAAACAAACAAACACACAAACCATAAGAGATCAGAATTTTATTTCAATGCATGAATCCTTGCAAAAACAGAAGTCCAAGCTTCAGTTTCTTAAATGAGTGTAAGACAGGATTAGCATTTTAAGAATAGAAATAGTGGTTGTTAAGTCAGGCAAAGTATGATCTGAAAATAATTTATGAAGGCAGTGAATATGTTGCCTGAAACATTGTACTATAAGATATAAAATGATGCAATACATTTCCCAAAGGAAAAAATGCTTATTAGAAGACTTATGAAGTCAGAGACCAATTGAGATTTTTTTCCATCAGTACTTCTGGAGCTCCCTACCTCCATGGTGGCTTCTTAGGATGACTAAATTGTATTTCAAATGGACAAAAGAATCATTAAATGTTTGGTTATTATTTCTTCAAATCTTTTCAACATACTTAATAACACATTTACTATTATATTTTGCAGAACCAAGATTTAGCAGAGATAGACAGACTAGCTCAATTTAACACAGAAGTTTCTTAAGCATTTGTTTTAATGAATATGAACAAATACTATACACTTACATTTGTCTTGTCTATAAACTTCCATAGTTCAGCTTGGAATGTACTGTTTCCTAATAAGATAATACAACATATTCTGACATGATGATGTGCAGGGATTAGGTGAAGGTTTGGAAGTATCATGGAAACTGTCTTCCTAACTCATTTTTGTATCTTGCTTCTTCTGCATTTGCATGGACAAAAGAACTGCATTACTTTTAAAAAGATATACAGGAATCCTCTGATCCCAGCTGAATGTACACATTGGTGAAGCAAATGTATTCATTTTCGACTGCCATGGACACCAATACCCAGGTATTTCCATTTTTAATTCTTTATGAAAGAGAATCTGAATGTCAACATTTTTGGGAGTCATGCATGGCTATTAAACTTCTGTGTCAGTATCTATAATAGCTACTTTTTGAAGAAACTCTCAACAGAGATGCCTCTAGTATGTGTTTTAACACATAGCTGCCTTTTTCTGTCAGACATGGTCCAAGTTAATTTAAAGTATGCTTTATGTATTTCTCATCCTATTACTGAAGAGCACTCAGAGCACAACTACTGAAGACTACATCTATTCAGGTATAAGAGAAAAAAGTTTCACAGAATCTGTGCTAGAAGAGAACATTTTAAATGCTGATACTATCAAACTGTAACAACTATTCAAATTCATCCAATTAAACCTATAAAAAGAGCAGAAACCTAGTAGAACAAAAAAGAGATAAGCAGAAATTTGTCTCAGTTAAAAGGATGTATTTCAGGCTCTTATCTATCACATTACTACTACTGAATACGCTTAAATATTCTCCAGCACACTCACCTCTTTTTGACGGTACTTAATTGCCAGTTTCAATCTTGCAAGATCATTACCACTCTGTTCTTCTATCAAGCTATTATCATCTCTGTAATTAAGAATAATTTCCAATTCCCTGGAACTCCGTGTCTGATCCAGGAGATCTTTTGCAAATTGCTTGCATTGCCGTGACAGTTCCTCATACTCTGACTTAAACTCATTTTCGACTTTGCTCAGCTCCTGCAGCTCCCAGCTCAGCTGAAAAGCGGTAAGGAAAGGATCCTCGCTGGACAAAGCAATCAACGACGGGCTGGCCAGAGCCTTGTAGATGTTGAGTCTGGACCGAGAGTGGCGGAGGCTGTCCACATCCGAGCTTGAGACACATTCCACACAGTTACAGCGCACCTCGTGGGGCCTGGGCACCGACACCCCTTTCTGCACGAGGAGCTTTATGATTTCGTAATTGTTGGTGTGGGCAGCCAGAATAATAGGTGTGATGTCCGGCGTAAATTCTGAAAACTGCTTGTCCAGAAGCACTGGTGGCACCTGTGAAAGAAGGCAAAAACAAGACTTACAGAAAATTAGGCTAAAAGTGGTTTACCAGGTAATACACTTACTGATGGATTTTTATTTCTGTCCAGAGTTGAAGGAAGCTCTTTAAATATAACAATTCAATTAGCTAAGATAGTGTCTTTCCAGTTAATCAAGTGCTATATACAGGGTGTGATTTCTCATAGAACCTGTTTATATGCAAATAACCCATGGACAATGATTTATTAGAGCAAATTATTAGATAAAGAAGGACAAGTTAGACACAAATGCTCCTCCCCGGTCCCTTGAAGTGAGCAAGATGGAATTTTTTTCTTGCCTCTCACAGGTTTATCTCAGTTTCATAGGGAAGAAAAAATCATGGTGGGCATAACTGTGAATCTCTGAAGGAAGCAATAACCAAGACATGGGCAAATTAGATTTAGAAAATAAAATGGTCAAGTAAATGAGAAGAAAATATGTGTTTTCTTAAAGAAAATGTTGAAAATAGGGTGTGTAGAGAAACAAAGATACTTGCTGCAAAGAGCTTAATGTCTTAAGGTTCAGTTCTACATACACCTGCACAAAGAAACGTATTCTGTTTGTAGGAAAACAGGGGACTTAGTAGAAGAAAGGTCCCCAGAGACCATTTTTAAAGCCTCTTCTGATGGGCATTTCTGTTTTGTCAGTCCTCTTTATCAGAAGACTGTAAGGTTTTTTATTTTAAGCTTGTTTCTTTATTTTACACTACCAGGCTCTAGACTCTTTCCCAGGTCAAGACAAATAGTTTGATTAGTATGATTAAGAATGCAAGAGCAATTAGCCAATGTCAATCCAAAAAATGACCACCAGAGGGAGGGCCTCTGAGTGGAGATCTTTCAGGTGGAAGAAAAAGGAAAATAATTGACTCAAAGTTCTCTGAAGGCTAGAGAAATATGTGGCCATCACAGGGAGGAAAATATTTTGATACAAGTCTCACAACAGCACCATGGCCTCACTGCCAGGTGGAAAAAACACCAGTAGAGTGGGGGTGGAAAGTCAAGACTGGAGATCTGGCATTCAGGACTGTAATCACACATCCCTCTGGAAGCAAAACCTGCCTGGCCATAGTGTATTGCTGACCTTAAGTAGTTGTGCCAGATTCTGAGAAGGGATGTGGAGTCAACAGGCCAAAATCCCTTTCCTGCCCTCTCATGCACTCAGACATGCATGCTTGGCTTGGCACTGAGTCAGGCTGGCACTGAGTTTGTCTCAGCACAGGACTGTGGCTGCCTGGGCTGGCACACCCACCCTCACCATCCCGTGCAGAGGGTGCAGCTGTCCTCACAGGTGGATGTTCACAACCATGGTTCTGAGCCAAGAAGCTTCTGTGCAACCTCATTTCTGCTTTCTTTATTCTGAGGTACAAACATAACGGTGTAGCATGTGCAGACAAACATGGGTTAAATATTTCTCATGAGGTAATGAACCCAGCTGTGAATATACTAATGAGAATATATGGATGGATGAGAATATATGGATGGAGGGAACACTTGGGTAGAAGAGCAAACAGAAGCTCTGTGTGCTGTGCCTGGTCTCAGGCCGAAAACCACAACTCTGGACTTAGAGCTTCCCAGAGGACTCCATGGCTCTGCCCATGCTGCTCTGTCAGGTCTCTTCCAGGGTATATCTGTCACCCCCTGGCTGGACACTGCACAGAGCCCACCTGGGGATACTCAGACCACATCATTATTCCTGTCTAGTGTGAACTGGGATTGAAATCCATATATGTTTTCTCTCCTGTCTTTGGTGTCAGTGGGGGAAGTGAGTTTCCAACCCCAATTCTCACAGGTTATTGTAGGCTTAAATTTGTGTTCTCTTTTACTAACGTATTATATAGGGGAAAAAAAAGAACACTCTGTGCATACACACACACTTTTCATGCTCTCTAAATTGCAGCTGTGGCCAGTGCTTTTGAGACTAGAATGGCACGAAAATGGTGGTAGAGATTCAAACTTTGCATCAGTAGAAATGAGACTTTGGGCTATCATAGAACTGAAAAAGGTTTACAGAGAGGCATGTGTTGTGTTCTGACAATATCTGCTGTAAGCAGTGAGATTCTCTCTTGGCATCATGTTCAGGGTACCAGAAAGTAAAGGAGAGAGCTGCAAGGACAGAAAACTCAAGGTCAGAAAGCTGTAACTTCAAACTCACTGACTGCTCAGAGTATAACTCTGTCACTTCACATGTTGCTAGTTTTTTACATTCTGACAGTACTAAAGTAACATTTGCTTCAAGCCCTGCCAGAACTGAAGGCTATCCTTAAACATATCATCAGCTGCAAGCTCTGAAAAATTAAGACACAGCTTCAAAAGACATGGTATCATAGTGACTGACTTGTACATGGGGTCCACTTCCTTACAAGCTGCTTGCTTTTTCTCATAGCTTATCAAAACCTTTCATCTTAAGCTAATTCAGATTCAAGGCTAGTGCACACATTTTGCAATTCATTGCATTGGAATTTACCCAAATATAGAAGCATGTATCACAACTTTTCAGCCTTAACTTACAGAAACATTTAAATTTAAAGGGCAAACCCTAAGACTTCAATTACATCATGACTTCAACCCCTGATACTTTACCTCCTATTTTAAGATTTTCTACTAATTTAAACGAAAGAGAGAATATCAAAGTAATAAGGTCAAATTATTCCCTCATCTGAAGCAAAATAAAGTACTTATCTTTGAAGTACTGGGTGCTCTTATGGCATTCAGAAAATTTCAACATCTTACAGTCGACCTGGAGTACTTGCTCTTAAGTTATCAGACTTACAATGAATTTTACTTTCAAATTACTAAAAATAATTATCTTTAAAGAGAACTAAACTAAATAACCAGCATACACTGATATTAGCCACACATTTGGAAGCCTTGACAGGACACTCACAGAAAATATTCAAGTCTTCCTTAAATCCTGGAGGATGGAAAGATACTAGGTCTTATAATCACTGACTGTGACTGACTTCCCAAGACTCAACAGTAGTGTAACTATATTATACATTTTGGAGTTAGTGTGCTAAGTTTGAGGCTGCTTAAACTTGAAAAAGTCAAATAAGTTTTGCAGTCTTACATTTTGTGAAGAATTTCTACTTCAACACTATTTACAGGGCTGAATGAAGAGGTTTGGTGACTATCTATATTTGTTATGAATGTCTATGTGATTAGTAGACAAAAGAAAACAAAACAGAAAATAAAGGATAGCACTTCAGTGCCCAAGGGCATGAGATTTTTTTTTTTGCATTTCTTTTCTCTGCACTCAGTGTAAATAGAAATGAGTTAGTCTGGTTTGGATATCTAACAATTCTTTTAGATACCAAGTGGAACGGTCCTCTTCAATGTGTTAATATTCCCTGTATGGTCTGTGTGAAGACAAGCTCTTTTGCTATGACAGGAAGAGAAATCTAGGTTAAATTAATGCCAGTTAGGTCTGAGACGCTCTCCTGTTCCCATGACATCAAAGGAGAGACCGATTGTTGATGATCTCTTAGACATCTAGGAAACAGAAAAATACAACAATCAGTTTGGAAAAGGAAGAGCTTAAACCCCATGTGTGTCCTTTTCTCCATCTAGATTTCTCATAATAGCTCTCATTACTGCAATATCTCAACAGAGAGACTGAAAACTGGAGTCCATTTACCTGCTGTTTAAGTTCAAGAAATCAGAATCTATAGAAATCTATTTCCTTGGGCAAACAGATAGGCCACCTGGCTCTTGTCCTTGTTTATTTATCTGCAATTATTTTGTCTCTTGTTTGTAAATGAAAGCAAATCCCACTTGGTTTTGGGCAGCTAGGGGAATAAATTTCTGAGTCGTGTCCGTCATGACAGCATGACTGGAGGAAAAAACCTGAAGCAAAGGCAAAAAGCGAATATATGACAGATAAGATGAATACATATGTCATGGAGTACCAAGTTATATAAAGAAATTTTTCTTATAAAAGTGTGTCATCAAAGTCTCAGCTGCTTTATCACTATTTTTCTATAGCTGTCATCACTCAAACACCTTGAAAGTGCTTAACTCTACATTTCTGTACAGCCCACAGCACATGAATTATCCCTATGCATACACAATTTCATGTACTACATTCTGGCCTGCTGAGTTCTTCTCTTCTTTGATTTGCTATTATTGTATCATTACTGTATCACTTGAAATATATCCTGATTAAGACAATGGAAGTAGTTCCCATGGGAAGGGTTCAAAAAATTCTTCTTACTGCAACTCCTTTACTGTGGAATAAGACACCAGTAAACATCCAGATATATTGAATAACTTAGAGATATCATCTCAAGATAACTTGAAATCAGTTATCACAGTCCTGAGGCTCGTGTTGAAACCATCCTCACAAGACCCCACACACAGCAGGACTGCAGTGGTGGCTCCTGATTGCCTGGAAGTGCTTTTCCCCATCCCAGGGTGCTCACCGTGCCTTGTGCAGCTGGCACGCTGTGGGGCCATCAAGGATGTAAGGCAGGCAAGTGGATGGAAGTGTCCAGGCTGAGCTCAGGGACAGTGTGTGTGACACTAGCCAGGCAGCACCCACCTGGGACGCTCTCATTGTCTGCTTTCCAAAGGCAACTTCCCCGGCCTCCCTGCTAAGGGTTCTACTTGTTCTTTGTCCTTGAACTCATTACATTTCCTAAAGGTAAGTACCACACTCTTAATCTGCTACTGAAGTATTATCTTTCACTGGACAATATTCTGCCTCTGTACCTATATATTTTATCTTTTTTTTTGTAGGAAACAGACATATAAGAGATATAGAAAAAAGGGGTCTTAGGCACTACAAACTGTCTAACAGTCTGAGGACTAAATGTAAATGTTTCAGTAATATTTAACTTCTTCTAATTGTAACTTCTTAAGAATGCATACATTCATAAGATTTAATTACAAATTGTGTCCTTTAAGATTTTCATACCTACATTTTACCTCAGTGTTGGCAAGGTGTTTAATGCTTCTCTTCCAGATTTCTTTTCTCTGGAG